TGGCTGACGACAACAATATGAACAACAGAAGCACAACGTGATGAACAACACTATGGCTAATGTAATCACACCGAGTACTAGCAATGTCATGTAAAATGAGTTCGCCTTGATCGAGCCAAGCATTGACACCTATAAAATATCTGTAACAACTGTCGCGAGCATAGACTAGATTAGTACTGTAACTGAAAATTGGCCAAAATAGAAATTCTGTAGGGGTATGTTTTCTCTACAAAAAGTATATTATTGATATTTGAAGATTCAATTGAAGGTTCACCTTGGGTGGACGAAGCTTAACACAGTTATACATTTCAATATTGCGATTTTCCATATAAACATTCGTGATTGTGCAGGGTAACTCGCAAAGTTCCAGACATTGCGTGCGATTCGGGAAAGTATGCGTGACTAAACATCAATATTAGCCAAGAAAAAGAATCCTATAATTAGTTTTAAAACAGCTTACCTGATCGCGGGTACGAAATAACTGATTCATCAACGCTATAATCTCTTGTACCATAATCTTTTGCATAACGATCGTTGTATGCTAGACATGAGCTAATGAATAGAGATAGCAGTGTAATCCGTCGCATTCTACAATAAATTACTTTTTAACAAGAAGGGTTCACGAAGAGAGAAACACATAAAGGAAATGAGTGACGGCAGTACTGACCTACAGCTAATCTCAGTAACAAAGGCTGTCTTAAAGCAGTTTCGAGTGGTTTTGAGGGAAAAGGTAAATGCATTTCGTCCTTTAAAGTCTTGGCTACTGTAGGAGAAAGTGAACGGTGGGTGAAAAACTCAAGGGGAGAGGACATGGTGCAGAAAAAGAAATCGAGTCTAGGTGTTGAACGCGAACGAAAGTATGAAACTTGTGGTATTCCAGATAGAATCTTCAAAAAACCTTGGGTAGGACATGGCACAGCATCGTGCTCTTTAGAGAGCATTAGTCATGCCTGTACGTATAAAAAAAGATGACTGCGATGGAATAACTTTGATTTGCAACGGTTGAAGCAAAATGAGAGTATAGCAGCTGTAAAAAAAACGCTGTATGGATGGTGACAAGGTGCATGAACGCGAGATTGCT